ATCAAAAAGCCTATGATTAAGGACTGAAAAGTCTGAAACGTGTTAGAAGTTTTTTCTCTCATGTTCTGTGGCTCATGTTCTGTGGCTCCCCCTTTGTAAGAGCCAATTAAAATGTTCAACTTTTTTTGAAAGCCTAGTACATTTTCTCAGCATTCGTATGTCAGGAGCTTCTTTGCTGACCATCTCTCCCATTCGGATTTATGGCGGGGTAAGCCACAGTATAATATTCTTTTTTTTCTATTTCATGATAACAGTACCCTTCTTCAACTCTCCGGATGGCCTGATTAGTAAGTAAGCCCATCATTAATGATGGATATAAGAGAACTATGGATTTATAAATACATTGCAATCTAAGCCACCTAGAAAAATGAAGTCTAAAAATGCAGTGGTAATTGAGGGAGAATGTTCTGCTAATTGAGGTCTTTGTGATACAGAATGTAACACTACATTCTATGTTAAAATGTAAATTTAATTATATAAACGTTTGATGATAAATTCCCTTTAATAAAAGCCTGTGGCCATTCCCAACCGTATAGTAAGTGTCAATATATATTCTGGTAGGTTTGATCGAGAGTGTACCATATCCAAGATCCATGTCATGAGTTTATAATTGAATTAAAATTGATCCTGTACAAAATACAGGGTAAACATAATAGACTCAGAGTGACTGTAAATGAGTTACACATTAGCAGTCAGTTTTCTTTATTGAGGTATTAAAATATGGTTGTATTATTTTCAGGACCTAGAATAGAAACTCAATATATCACACTTTCAATATGTTTGTAAGGGAAAGTAATGTAATTATAAAGTATATAAGCATTTAGATAAATATATTATGTTTGCCTGGTTTTATTGCTTCTGATAAATTAAGCACTAGGTTTATCTACATGTATTCTTATTGGCTATGATAGACATTCCGGAGATTAAAAAGAAGCACAATTGCCGAATTCCACCCATAGAATGTTTATATTAGTTCAGAAAACTTGCACTCCCATTGGCTTTATATTGAGTATGACAGCATACATTGTCATTCTACAGCATTGCAAAAATGGTAAGAGCTTTAAAAACGTTAATAATTTTAATAATTGAGCTTAGTAGTTAATTGAAAAGCATTATTTTGGAAGCATTGTGCATTGATCTTTCATTTTACTAAAGATGGATTTACCATTAGAGCATGCTATACTATTACCTATGGACAACCAAGATTATTACCCAGAGCCTACAGTCAACCTGGGATATTTCCCAGGGCCCATTGAAGTATTTAGGTTTTTAGCTGCCCTTAACAAGTCATGATCTTTAAGCCCACAATGTAAATAAATATAAAATAATAGAGGCACCTGTCAATATGTGTAATTATATTTTTATTTTAAAGTCAATGGGACTGGTGCTGAAAAAAATAAAATAATTCTGTTAAAAATAACCACGTAATGAAATAAATAAACCAAAAATAAATTCAAAAATGTTAATACACAAGAGGAAAAACTGTATAGAGTAAACATGCATATGGCGCTTTAAATAACAGAAGGTAATTTTCTGAAAGGAAAAAGAAAAAAAACAATAAGTAAAATACAAACTAGAAAACTAACAAAGGAGTGTTATACTACGTGAGATATTGATAGTAGGTATATAAATAGAAATACTCTTATCAAGCAGAGCCTACCAACATTTTTGTTTACAGCTGATAAAGCACGGTATCATTTTTCTTATTCTCTCTTTAATTATATACTTTTCCTGAACATACCCTAATACATCCTGTACCTTATACGCCAAGCTCGAAACTTCTTCCGAAATTTTCCCAACATCCTGCCTAGCTTACAGCCTGTTGGAAAATTGACTTGTCCTTAAAACACCTTGCTATCATTTCCTTCAGAAAGGATTTACCATTTGACAGCCACTGCATGTCAAGTTTCTGAATGTATTTGTCCATTTTTGCTTCTATTGCTTTTTTTCCCCTTTTCTATTACACACATATTTAAAAGAACCCTCCAACATTAAAACCATTTTCCAATCAGATGTCCCTTTAAGGCTAAGCATAACCAGTATGGGGATCGTATGTAGAGGTTACATTTTTGGTTCATATTACATGTGCACACATACATTTACACTCAGGTCTTCTTTTAACTTCGTAGACCGTTTTTTTTTTCTAAAACAGGGAACTTTCAAAGGGAACATTTGCTGTACGTCAGGATGTATGCAATTCCCACCACAAAAGGTAAGACAGAGAATAAATTGTTCAATTATTACACACAGAATGTTGGGGGAAAGTGTGCATTTTAGATTGTGAAAATGTATGCTTTCTCAGAAGAAAGAAGAAAAAGAATTCTCTACAATAGTGGTTCCCAACCCAGTTCTCAAGTACCCCCTGCCAATCCAGGATTTAGGGATTACCCAGTTGTGTCTAAGGTGTTTTTAGAAATAAAGAAAAACATTTAGACACAACAGGGTAATCCCTAAATCCTGGACTGGTCGGGGGTACTTGAGGCCTGGATTGGGAACCCATTCTTAACAAAGTAGACATCTTCTCAGTATTTATGCAATTGTGAAATTTTCCCACCATACTTTTATCTGTGTAAATGCTGTCCATTACGTAAAAACAAAAACAATGGACAATTAAACATTTGAGCACCATAAGCACTACAAAATATGCCACTTTGACATTATTCAACCAAAGTTTGGACGGCAATAATAATAATAGTACTGAAAGCCTATCACTACAGGCCAAACCATTAGAACTATAATAACAAAAAAAAACAACAACAAAAACTGTAGTGCTTAATAACTTGCCTATTCTGTGTAAAATGAACTAGGATTTTTTTAGAATTTTGGCCGATCGGCGGGTCTTTTGAATTGCGTAACTCCAAAGCGCTCTAGGGACGTATCATAGACAAATTAGTTGAACAATTGACAGGCATGTTGTTTTGTGATCCAGAGCCCATCTGCAGCGCCAAAAAAAAGAGATTATTGATGTGGGAAAAAAGATTGATAACTAGGGGACAGCTACTAAATGTTGATTTTATTCACAGTTTAATAGAGAAGGGACCAATAAAGGTAATAAAAACAATCTATCTCTCTGTCTATAAATATATATATAATATATATGTCTATAAATATATATACATATATTTTGCATGCACAACATTCAGACTACCCAAACTTGTTTTTGGGGGACAAAGTAAGTCAACTGAGCTAAATGCTCCGCCGTGCACAAGTTTATTGCTTATGATACTTGGAGTGTCCCTTTAACCCCTTAACCCCTTAAGGACACACGACATGTGTGACATGTCATGATTCCCTTTTATTCCAGAAGTTTGGTCCTTAAGGGGTTAAAGAGACACTATAGGCATCCAGGCCACTTCAGCTCATTGAAGTGGTCTGGGTGCTGTGTCCCTATTGCAGTTTTAGAGATACTGCAATGTTTACGGTAAGAGCTTTAAAAACGTTAATAATTTTAATAATTGAGCTTAGTAGTTAATTGAAAAGCATTATTTTGGAAGCATTGTGCATTGATCTTTCATTTTACTAAAGATGGATTTACCATTAGAGCATGCTATACTATTACCTATGGACAACCAAGATTATTACCCAGAGCCTACAGTCAACCTGGGATATTTCCCAGGGCCCATTGAAGTATTTACGTTTTTAGCTGCCCTTAACAAGTCATGGTCTTTAAGCCCACAATGTAAATAAATATAAAATAATAGAGGCATCTGTCAATATGTGTACATAAGCCGATATCCATTGTATTTTTTTTATTTTTTTTTGTTTTTAGATTGTGTCATTATGCAATATATACCTTAGATAATATACAACAAATAATCTTTATGGTTTTATAGACAATATAGTGTAATGTACATCACATTAGGGGTCGGCATGATCTGTAGCCATTTCATCTGTAAGAATATTGGCAAACTGCTGCAGAATTCTAAATGAGATTATTACTTTTTGTGTTTTTTTTTTTTAGCATGTTCCTTTTTAATATACAGTCAGATGGCCTCTTATAATTGCAGTATCAAATCTGTGCCTCAGTTTTCAACTGCAGGTGATTTGAAATGATTAAAGATGCACAACGGGGAATAAACAAAAATGCTTACATGCAATTATTTTTAATTAGTATTTGGCTATAAAGTATATGCCTTCATAAAAAAAGTCTGTTATTCACATAAACATCTGTTACCATACACACAAGGAAACACACAGTAAGTCTGTCATCACATTACCAAAACAAAAACTAGTAAGGAAGGCAGGGCAGGAAAAGCAACACTTTGATTTTTTTTAAACAAAAGATATATACGTGTAACTGCCAAAACAGACACTGAACCACACCTTTGATTAACGTAATTCACAATCAAAGGAAGAGAGATCTGCAATGGAATTATGCCTCGAAATATTAAAATAGCTGAATTTATTCTTGAAAACAATAGAATCTCTAAGTACGAGACAAATTCTTGTACTAATTTTGAATTAGTGAACTTAATCAAAGGACTTCCTGTTTGTACATATATTATTATTTTTTTTTCACTAGTTATTCATATTTTCAGCTATGTTTGCTTACTTTCCTGTAATATGCTTTCTCCTCTCATTCTTTAGATTTTGTTAACTATACTATGATCAAAGAAAGGGAAAAGCTAAAGAAAAAGACTCTCCTTTAAAGGTACAACACTGAGTTCTTAAAACTAGCAGTTTAAAGACATATGCAAGAGATTTTATATAAATATACATACACACATACATACATAAATACCATAGTGCATCCATGCAATCAGAACCAGGACATTCACATGTCTAACACTGATCTTAGCTAACCCTAACTAACTTGCCAAAGTGATCTGAACTTGCCACAGTGATCTGATGTTGGAGACAAATCCCTGCAATGACATTTTATGACTGCTGACCCATACCAGTCCCCCCAACCGTTGCCCCCAATAACACACATGACACATTATTATAGTGGATAAGAGCAACAGCCACAGCTTTATTTAACATAACAGTTTGTAAATGCTGTCCAACTCTGTCAGCTGTTGGGTGGTTGCCCAACAGACAGTTCCCCCAAATTGTGTTCCATGAGTCTCAAAAGTCGGCTACTCGCCATACGCTCCGTGCAGGCTGTCGTCTCCCCAAAGTGCCTTTTCCAGCTGCGCTGTCCAGGAAAAACCCGCCAACCTGTGACAACACAAAAAACATATATCTTCAATATAGGTTTTGATAAGATCATAGGAGTTTTTGACAAATATTGGCCAATATTGACCAGTGACCCTTGGTTGTCTTTCTGTATTTCAAAGGTTCCCAGAGTTACTTTTAGAAGGGCCCCTAATTTGAAAAACATTCTAGCTCCTTCGAAACTGCACTGTCAAAATGTAGGACACCAGAGAGTCTGCCAAGAGGTTGCAGCTAATAAGCGTTGTGGTCATGCTAAATGCTTAACTTGTGGATTTATTTGTCATCAACAATCCACGTTTAGTTCGTTTGATAGTACTGAGATCTTTTCTGTGCAGTCATCAATTACTTGTAATACTTCTTTTGTGGTATATCTCCTTATCTGTCCCTGTGGACGGCAATATGTGGGTCAAACTATCAGACCCTTGAAATGTAGATTTTGTGAACATAGGACAGCCATATTACGTAATGATAGTAGATCCCCGGTGGCTCGCCACTTTACTATCTTTCATGATAATAATCCTGTTGGTCTTAAATTAATGGGAATAGTACATATCCCCTTCCATCAGGATGAAGCGAAGAGAAAACGTGAATTAATAAAGGCTGAATCAGTGTGGATCTTTAAGCTGAACTCTATGTCACCTAATGGCTTAAATGAGGAACTAGAATTATTTTGAGATATTACAGTTAATTGCTGTCCCTTTATTTTAAAAAATAATCTTTAATATGTTGCATTTTTGTGTTTTTTGTGTTTTTTGGGGGGGAGGGAGGGGTGGGGTATATATGTTACACATATTGTGTTTTGTATCTGTTGCCTGACCTGAATATTAGGTTTTATTTTTGAATGCTTTTATATTTATTTCTTTTATATTTAATCTCATCTATACCTTGTTAAGACTTGCTATGTATATGCAAGTGAATCCAATCCTGCTTTATTTGATGGTGGGGTATATATATTGGGTTATTTCACACTGCAGTTCCTGTCTTGAAAAAGTCCCGTGGGAGGGACGAAACGCGTAGACGGGTGTATCGGATGAACTTACACCTGCTGTGATTGAGGAGTGAGAGCAGGAAGCGGTTTTTGTTCTTTGGCGCTTTTTTCCCCATCGGATGAACTTACCTGGCATCGAAGCTATTGAGAGCGGCGGCAGTGAGTGTATTCTGTATATATCGCGGTCTTTTGTGAAGATCCCGACCGCGATATACTTCATAGCATTTTGAGGAATCCTGTGTGCCTTTCGCTGGACTTTAACATCTCTTTAACATCACCGCCTCCAGCTCGCACCACTCATCATTTTTTATTTATTTTTTATGTACCTCGGTGGGGGGCCCACACCGAGGAAAGGTATTTTACAGCACATACCTAGTTTTGTATCATTTGTTACAGTTGTTATATTTGTTTCTAAGTCTGGTGGGGATAATACTCTTACACTTTGTTGTTATTTTTTACCTAGTGTCTGAGTTAACCCTTCTGACTCAGCTGTGCATTTTGCAATTCTGTAGATTTATATTTACTCTTTTTAAGGGATACATTGTTTTTTATACTCATCTCAGCAGGTTTAGGTCATCTTTGATCTGTTATTTATATTTGTTATTATTTTTTCTTTTTTATATATAAATTTCTTGGAATAAAATACTGTTTTATTGGTTTATTTATATCTTCAAAATGTTTCATGAGTAAAGAGCGCTCACGCTTTGTTTAAACCTTTGAGCTTACACTCATTCATAGTCGCTAGTGGATGCGAGTAGCTGCTCTTATTTTTATTATTTCATTATATATATTTTCACCTCTATTGTATATTTTCAACACAAAAAACAAAACAAGACTCAAGCCACAACACCAAAAACAGGGTGGGAGGGTGGGAAAAACAGTCAGGTGCCCTCAACTGATCCTACCGACTGGTAGAGATGTCGCGAACTGCTCGCCGAACTGTTCGCGAACTGTCCGCCGGCGAACAATAGCGTGTTCGCGTTGGGCGAACATATGCGATTTCCGGTCCGCCCCCTATTCGTCATCATTGAGTACACTTTGACCCGGAACCTCACAGTCAGCAGACGCATTCCAGCCAATCAGCAGCAGACCCTCCCTCCCAGGAAGTGTCTGCTGACTGTGAGGTTCTGGGTCAAAGTGTACTCAATGATGACGAATAGGGGACGGACCGGAAATCGCATATGTTCGCCCAACGCGAACACGCTATTGTTCGCCGGCGGACAGTTCGCGATCAGTTCGGCGAGCAGTTCGCGACATCTCTACCGACTGGTAAGTCCCCTCCCTCTCCCTTTCTTTAAGAATCCCAAACTTTGATACATTTGTTGCCTTATTGACCCAGGCAATCTTGGGCAGCAGTCATGCTCCCCCTTCCTTAGTTATTCCAGGGGGAAACTGAATGTCTCATACTTTAGACATCCAGCAATAACCTAATGCATGCCACAACATGCACTCACCGCCAATGATGCCCTCCAGAAAATGCCATCTGAATGCTGTGGCACAGTTCCTGGAGAAGCCTCAAGAAGTCCATTATCATATCTTGTCATTAGTGTCATTGTTGTAAGTGAAGCCCACAATTTAGGGTGGGCGACGGATAACAGTGCATGCACAGGGTACTAAAGTGATATGGATTCTTATTGTTATTATTATGACTGGCATTTATATAGTGCCAACATATTTTGCAGAGCAATAAAATTATAGATTTATACAAGAGATTAAGGTAATGCACACTTTACCAGGCTTTATATATATATATACACAAACTCTCCTGTCTGACTCAGATTCTCTTTTTATTTAGTGTGTTGCAGTGGATTTGCACAATAATTCTCAGCAAGGGTACATATTCTAGCACACCTATATGATTTATAAAGTTTACATCCTTTACTGCACATTATGTCTTTTGCTGTTCAATGTAATTCCTCACCTCTGACTAAATAAAGAATTCCAAAAAAGAATAAAATATACACAATACAACATGAAATATATATATATATATATATATATATATATACAAGATCAAAGATAAAGTGCACCCAAGGTCTTTGTATTAATTTGTAAATCTGTTTTATTGTGCAGCAATTACAGACCTTGAAAAAAGTACGGGGATGGACTGAAACGTTGGCAAATTCTTTTAATTTGTCCTGCAAAATAAAGCAGATTTACAATTTTATCCGACCTTTGAATGCACTTTGTTTTGGATCATATATTTCTGACTTAAAGTTTGGCCCCTAGACAAGCACAAGACAGGAAGATACTTTGAGTGCCAAGCCCGAAGTAAATATATATATATATTTTGGGAGAGTTGGAGATTTATGATTGAAGAAGTTGTAGACTGGTGAAATTCTCTCTACGTTATGTTATAATCCATGGTTCATCTCCACCATCTTTGGCCTCACAATGTCACTGACATGGTATGCCAATTGGGACCTGGAACACAATAGCAACACATCAAACCCTTACAAGCACAACCTGCAGGGGATCCTGGAGGTGAAGACATGATCCACAGGAACTTTATTAAAAAAAAGAAAAAAAGAAAAATCAAATAGCGTCCAAACGAGGTGTTCACGAGCAGCAGGCAAAAGTAACATCAGATGGTTATATAGCCGTCAGTCTTAAAATCTCAAACATTAAAACTCTCAAATGCATCCACATGGGGTTGTCCACTATCCCCACTGCTTTACGATTTAACCCTGGTGCCCTTAGCAGTCACAATAAGATCTCACCATCATATAGAATGGTACCCCTTTTCTGAAAATTAAAGTGCACACTCAGAATGAAGAAATAAGGAATTGTTCTGAATGTTGGTGTCTAGTAAGGTATGTTGTCCTATTTCAGAGTAATGAGATCCATTTAGCTTTCCTTGCACCCCTTCCTCCTTTTTTTCCTTGTATCTTTATATTTTTCTGAACAGAAAATAATTACAGGTTTGAAAAATGATTGTTTTGAAATTTTGATTCCATGTTGAATGTAAAATGCTATTTTCCGCATGATGTTTGCTGTTAAGCTGTGTTCAGATACATCTTGAATAAAGTAAAATCTTTCTCCCAAAATTAGTTACTCATGTTTCAAAGACGAGATACAGTGCAAAGGGACACCTTGCACCATAATCCATGCAAGAAGCATTTGTTGTTATGGTGCTTTAAAAGTCTTTACCAACCAGGCAATCTCCTCTAAAATCTCCTCTGATAGTGAACTTTTTTTTATATTTTTTTTTTTTACATATATTATAATGTGGTCAATTGAAAACAGAATTGCAAACTGTAGGCTAAAATAGCAGAGACTAACATTTTTTTTTTCAACTTGACTTTTATCTCTAAAAATATATATTACATTTCTCAATTCAACAAAAAAACAAACGTAAAAAAAAACACAAAACATAAAATATGTTTACAGAATAAACTTTTTTTACATCCTTCTCTGAAAAGAAAAAAAAATGAATAAAAGAACAAGATATAAAAGAATGAGAACAAAAAATACACAAAAACAGCAGAGAGAAAGAGGCAAGAGTAGAGAGAAATAGAAACGGCGTGAATGTGATAACAATATAACGTGAAGCAATGAAAACAAGTAAGTCTTTCTTGCAGTTATTGATTTTTATTGTAATATATAATGTACAGGAAAGCTATACAACCAATTATGATTTGTTAATAATATAAAACAGATAATATTAATAACAAACTCTAAACAATATTTTCTAGTCTTGACATACAGTGGTACCCTGTCTCCTCGTTCAGAAAAACGACAGTGGCAGGCTTACCTAAATAAAATTAATTTGACAATTATAGTTCCTTTTTACGAACATTGATCTGATCTCTTGTGTCATTAATGTCAGTAAGGGATGCCCAAAGCTGATAACCCATAACAATGTATTCCAATAACCATCATCTCTATTAATGCCCACACTATTACAATTGACACTTATTCTTTCTGCTTGATGAGTGAACAGCTGTCTTAGAGCTGGCTTGGACTACAATTAAACTCCTTCTTCAGTTATGCAGATACTCTGGAGGTATCATGACAGCAGTATATTCTTCAGTTATTACACGTTAACCACTGAATATCACTGCACATGGTATACAATGTATATTAGTTGTAATGGAAAGAACAAAATGGGAAAGGATATACAAAAATGAAGGTATTCTGGTGGACATGATATTTATTTTAATATAAAGATAATGCAGTAAAAAAGTTACCCGAATTTCCTCTTGGAAATAGCTCCACCAAAGGTGGAGCTAATATACATGTAATTTGCATGCATTTGCATAAACATCTGAGATCATCATTCTTCTGCACGGACCCTCTCAGATGCATTCTTAAATATTCTATGTCTGGACTGCAGGCTCAAGCATGCAGTTAAAAGTCCTGTAAAAAGGACTTACGTGAAACACACCAATTTAACAAGCCCTACTTATCATTTAAATAGGTTAAGAAAGAGAAAGCATTCAAAGATTTTATTCTCAACCATCAGGAGTGAAGACGTTAGAACGGACAAATTGGCCTAGAAGCCCCAGTGACTCTGTAAGAATAGTCTCCTAGCTCTAGTGGAAGCTTTATACTGGCCCTTTCAGCCCTTTCACGTTCAGTCACATTAGTTCGTAGATCGTTTTCTTCCCTAGAGCATGGCCCAGCTCTTAGGAAGGTACAACTCTTTGGGGAAAAATGTTTTCACTGCAGACTGTTCTGAGATGCTTCGACAAGGTGTCTGCATGGGCTTTCCTAAAGCTAATTTGTTTCAATTACTTTAAAAACATGCCTAGATAAATTATTGTATGGGTGAATAAACTCATTAGTAATTGTCAGGCAGATATATTTTATTCAGTGCTTTCCAAATCTATACAACAAGCCAGATAACAGATGCTTAGATTAGGTTTTTCTCAGTCTCTCTCTTTTTGTGTGTGTTTTGTTTTTTATACATGTTGTTTGTCATTTGCAAACAATACCACTCACTCTACACATTTGTCCACAGTCGGAGCAAACAGCATGCGTAAAGGTAACTACAAGAGTTCGCCCTGAGATTTACTCTGCTTCAGTTGCTCCCAATAACATAACAATTCAGTGGAGTCTCAAAAGATACTGTGCTTTGTGGCTGTGATTTTTCTGGTATATTCAGAATACCAGCTGCTGTCTCTGTTATCCCCAGGCTACTGTTGGCTGAAATGTGTTTTGCAATACATTTTCAGTAACTTAAATTCCTGGAGCAAAATAGGTGGAAATAAAATGAAGCTTAAGGTACACGGTGAATTCTTGTGGAAAAGTAATAGCTGTGTGTGGATAGGCAGGACATCTGTGTCGTTATGATGAGTCCAATTTACCACATCAGCACTAGTGACATTTATATGATGCAATTTATGTGTGTCTTGTAGAAAGCCTACCAGGTTTTACAAGTAATTTTAGGTAGAAAGGAGGATATTGCAAAAGACAACCGCATGACTGATATCATTACAATTCAATTTAAATAAATATTTTAACTGTCTTTAAACGTGGGATCTGAGTGCTTGAATGGCTGTGTAACATCACCTCAGCCCCGGCATTAGTACGAAGCTGTATAACAAAGTGGGAGCTTGGAAATTATTGCAAAGTGATCCCAGGAGTAGGCCACTAGACTCCAGGATAATGTTCCACTCCAGCTTTTTATTTTTTTTATTTTTTTATTTATTTTTTGTCGTGCAAGTTTAACCAAGGTACAGCCCATTGGCCACAACAGCCGCACAGGATTAGTGATTGACAGACGATAACACATAGCTGATAGACATATATTCCTAATACAATTACATTGTGTGTCATCTGCCAATCCTGCACGTGTTTTATGTGTTATTGAGATCAGGCTATATGAACATGTGTAAAACCCAACTAAGGCCTCTAGCATCACACTAACATTTGTAATCTTTTCTGGCAGGATTGGTAGGGTGCATACCCCTGGTTTGGAATAGTGCATACTGCTTGATATGCGGTGAGAGTTAAAAATAATATTTATATCAACAACAGCGAAATCATAACAATAACCCTAGAGTCATAATAAGACATTGAGTTAGAGTGTTAAGAGCCTTTAACAACTAGCAGTGGAGTAGCAGGTGCAAGATAATCGGTCGTGTATACCTCAACTGTCTAGCCGCGAACTTTGTATGCTATGCAACATGTCTAAGGTACTGATTACACTCTTTCTTGGCAATACCAATTCATATTGGCAATGGGCAGCTGTGAAAGTCTGAGAGCAATCATCAGACACTATTAGCCAATCAGCACCTCATATGACTGCTTGGTCCAATGCTTCCTCATTTAAATGAGCAGCACAGAGTGGATTAGAGACTTATGTTTAGCATTAAACCATAAAAAGCAATTTAACACTGAACAGGAGGACAGTTACAGGGGATTGCAGATTAAGCAGTTACAGAGCCTACAGCCTCCTTTTAAATATTTTTTAATGCCATGCAGTAAGTGGGTTTGAGAGAACCAATTGGCTCATTTAGCGTAATGCTGTTGTCCTATGGACCTCATGCATGTTAACTGTATTTTGCCTTTTAGCACCACAAAAGAGATCAGTGAATATTTTCATTGTCTTCATTGGTGAAGTGCCATCCCCTCTATTTTGGCCTATAACCAACAGAGCTAGGACTTTAAGGCTCTGAATAAGGTGAGCAATATACCTTCCTGATTTTAAACAGAAAAATGGTTTTAAGTACTTTACTACACATTAGTTGCCTCTTTTTCTCTTTTTACTAAGTGTGTCCGATTAGACCGGAGGAGTGGTGAGATGTTACCCTAAAAAGCACGAGAACGCTATTTACTGAGCCAATTGATTTAGGCTCTAATACACGTGAGTGGTCTGACTTTCTTTATGTATGCTCTATAAGCACATAGCTACCATCTGCACTATATTTTGTTCTTTTTCTATTTTTTGGGTTTGAGATATACATCAAGATTATTCCACGGCAGCACATATATATATATCAATCATTGCTATATATATGTGCAGAGAGTAATTGTGGGGCCATCCTGTGTATAGCAGTGAATATTTGTCCGATATGCCCAGTTTGGCTATGCCAGAAAGCTTGACTTGTGTCACAATGCTAGTGGATACAATCATATGGTCCCAACAGCTGACGGACTAGAAACCCATAAATGCCATAATTCTGGTGTACGCATACTAGTATATAGGATTTTGGCATAACTTTGCCGCAACACCATTTTTTTTGTGTGTGTGTGTCAGGATCTAGTAAATCGATTCATATCAGTATGTGTTTTATTATTACCATGGGTTATTTCTAAAGAATATAGGAACATAAAAAACATATAACATTAATGATTAATTGAATGTTCACATGGAAGCTAAGGTCAAAAATAAAATGTTACTGCGTACTAAGAATTTCAAGATACATTTGTAGTTTGAAGTATTATTTTATGATACATGTTCTATTTTTTATCAGGGGAAGTAAGATAGGTGACATACGACTGATCCCAATGTTTTGTTGCATTGTACTATGATGGGCTTTTCATAAAAATTAGCTGACAATGTCGTAAGTATACAAGTAAATTTATAACCTTCATATAGGCTTGCGATTCCCGGAGCAACTTCCTTCACTTGGCTTTTTTTTTTTTTATTAAGTTTATCACTTTTTTATTGTCCAATAGAGTGTAAGCTGAGAGATTACAAATAAATATAACTTTCATTTTTATGAAACCAATACTGGTGAATATATCAGTATTAAATTGCAGGGAAGCAAAAGTAAATCTGAATTTGAATAGTCGGGTAAGTATCAATATGTGGTTCTACCTTTCACTTACCCTAAAAAAAATCAAAACGGCTCAATAGGTTCATTAGATGTTAACCCTTTAACAATGGAGTGTTAACTTTTAGAATGTGCGAAGGGCTCAGATCGTCTCAGTGCTGCTACTCTTAGCAGCTCACATAAGTCCCTTTTTACCATTGTTGGTCACAAAAAGATAAATAAGGTAGACTACAGCTTACTTTTTTCTCCATAATAAAAAAATAGAAATAAACTGGACACTAGCACAGGACTATCCAAAACACAGTGGAGCACTCCCTAATCCACCGGCAGACTTACTTACATACTGAAAGGGTTGTTTACTAAAATGAGAATTCAAAGTGAATTTTGAATGTAAAGCAAGAATAACCAAAATGAAAGCACAGCTTACTTAGAGAATTTGTCAAGTCTGTCTATTTTGACCTTAAATTTGAAGTTCACTTTGAATTTACACTTTACTGTATAACCCTGTTATTGTTATTTGTAGAAATGGAATGTCTATGAACCAGATTAGAGATACTGTGAAATATTAAAAAGCAGAGGTCAGAAGAACAAGGCAGTAACTAACTTCACATGATCTTATTTTGGATGCGCATACTACCAATACGACTTTAATGCTTATTAAATGACTTTAACATGCTATATTTTTTTATGCTTAAATCTTTATAATTTTGCATATTTTAAATAAATGTTTTGCAGAACAGTGCACCATAAGCCTGCCTCCGTAGCCACACCCCCTCTTTCCAGAAAAATACTTCCTTATCAAAAGTATGTACACAGCTCAGCCAATAGCACTGAATGACACCCAGGAAGGAATATAGTAATGATATCACTACCTGTTTATAGTTTCTCTGACTGTCTGCATGTAGTACATTATTAGCAGCTCACTCAGTGCTATTGGGGCTAAGACTGTGCGCATACCTTTGATAAGGAAGTCATTCTGGCACATGGGGTGTGGCAAAAATGGCAGGCTTACGTTGCAGCATTCTACAAAACATTATTTATTTTTTTTGAAAAACTATAAAGATTTGTGCATGCAAAATGTATCAAATGCATTCAAAGTTGTATTTGTGCCCGGAGAGTCTCTTTAAGCAAAATAAAATGTGGACGTTAATATTAAGCTACCTGGGGTTAATCAATGTTTTCATAACGATGTCACTGCATTTTATTTTTAGCTAATATGTTACAATCAAAGAGGTCTCATGTTATCAAAACATGTATTCTTGGATCAAGATTCAGAATATTACATAAAGACATTCAACTCAATTCACATATGTTCATTGTGAAAGTATCACATTGTTGACGTTCAGGATATTGTTATTGCCAAACGTTAATAATAGCAGTGGCAAGGAAAATACATTCAACATGATAACATACTTGAAGAATATATGTTGTGATTTAAGAGTCAACAACGTACAGTACAGTATTCATTATAACATTCTTGATTTGGCAGAGATTCTGTCTTACATTGTTGTGACTCTACTTAATTTTTTTTTTAGGGATTTTTGTTAAAGAAAAAAAAAAAGAGCACAATCCTGTCACTGATTAACAAAAGAAAGCAAGATATGTGATTAATGATAAAGTAAATTGGGGCACCATTACTTTGCATCTCAGAAATGTTTGAGGTCAACACACAACTTTCCCCTAATACATTTTTATAATGAATTTATTCATTTAAATGCAACCACACCAAGCACAATTTGCCCCAGGCAAGAAATATTTAAATGATATTCACGGGGTCTATTCAGACAGATGCAACATATTTTGCCTAAGAATATTTTAACCTCTTAGGAGGCTATGCAAACGTGTCTGCCTTAAATAACTTAACTTGCACAATCTACAATATTCAGCAAGATGTGGAATAAGTTTTACAAAATTAATTGCAGTCATTTCACATGTGAATTTATAAAAGGGTTCAACACACACAAATGATATTACGCACATGAGCAAATGGATAAAGAGACTTACGATGGTCATATTTGCACATATATCTCCTGCATTAAAAAAAAAAACATATTAGCAGGTTATAAGATGGTTAAAAAATTCTACATTATAACTTTAATTTACCATATACATTAAGAATGCATATCACATCATAAAATTTAGCACAGCAAATTAATGCACGACAGTTCAAAAATATTTGTATTCTTTGTTAATAGTCTGTCCTGGTCATATCCACTACAACATATCAAAACGCATCATCATCTGGTAGTTCGGCATTCGTAAACATTCCAATTTGGAAGAGATCACAGCTCTGGGCAAATACAGTATACTCTGATTTAAACATCTTGGTGGGTTTCATTCTTTTTAATTATAACTTATTGGAAGTGAGTGAGTCAAACAGAGTTGTGGTAGTAAATATCACAAACAAACTCAGTGGTGTTCAACGGGAAAATATACAATAAAATCTCTAAAGACTAATAAATAAATTTTCCAAAAGGCCACTATATGGCGGTGGGTTCAGTATGGGAGTAGATGGGAGAATATTAATTTTTATTATTTTATCTTTTCTGTTATAAGCATTAGAATATGACCTCAGTCTGCCTCGGGGCTTTGCGTTTATTGGCTTAATATTTGTGAAAAGGGCAATATATGGTACTAATTGAAATATGAAGGTCAAAGTTAGAATAACCTGTCGAAATCTGTTATCCTCTAACACATGCACTTTTATCACAGGTCTTGGGATATTTACATATTAATGGTGACACCTAGCAATGAGTGTGTGGAACAGGTGGCATCATACAAAGATTAATTTCTAAAGAATGGCTTAGGTGCTTCATATCTATCTGACTAAAGTCAAGAAATCTATTTAAATCTGTTATTTCAAAAGGCAGATTATGCTTTCAAAAACCATATTGCATGGATTGGCAATGAAATCCATGTAATTATTCTCTTTAATGAAAGGGGAAAAATTCACAGATCATCTCTGTGTGCAGTCTTTGGTGTGCTAAATTTGAGCAAAACCAATGAGAGTTACATTCACCAGTGGTAACAACTGGTAATTAGGTTAGCCAAAATTGCATCATCCTGGAGCTGTAACACCTTCTAACACCAAGCAGCCTTGGGACAATGTGCCAGTGTTCCCTTACAGTAAACTCCTCCCTTTTTTTTTAGTACTAAAGGGTTTAGTAGTGATGTGGGTCCAGGCACCTATGGATTCCAGGCTTCTGGATCCACTTTAATACATTGAAGCGATTATGGTACCTATACTTTCTCTTTATCCTCTACATTATTATCAAACCCTATGCTACATTAAACATTAACCCCTTCACCATATTAACGTTAAACATTATTATACAGACACACAAACACTAACCTATGCAGACTGTGGCGGTAAACCCTCTCGGGGATGGGTTACTACCACCTGTGGTCACCCCTTCCTAGTTGTGCCCAGCCATAGAGTGATTAGAGCTGCTAGCCAGTGATTATAGTCGCTTGCAGAAGGGCAATCGTGGTATCACCCAAATACTAGTCGAGACTTAGTGAAGGGTGAAATAGAACTGTTTATTTCAGGCAAGATACACAACATTTATGCACAGACCCCCAGCAGGGGGTCTCCATTCAAAGTAACATGAAAACATGTGGTACAGCTATGATCCCTGCAAATAGCGGAGTTATCGGATGTACAGAGCCCAGCGTACCAAATCTGGGCTTGAGGTACATACCCGAAAATAGCTCCACAGAATCACTTGGTTTTGGCCAGTGGATACATATTCTGCGCCTAAACCAACCGCGGCGACCAATCAGCGCTCAGTGAGGGGAGGGGTTTGTGACTAAGCCCTTTAACTTGTACCGGCCAATCAGGAGAAAGGGTTTGAATGTGGGCTCCTTCTCCCATTGCTTCTTCTAGGCAACCAGCGGGACCCTGCAGCTGTGAAGCTGACTCATAGCTCGAGGGGGCTCGTGTCTCTCCACGTAGGTAGCACCAGAGAGAGCGATTTTTGGCTGTGGGTAAGATGCCTTGTCAGGTGGCTCATCACACAGACACACTCACACTGATCCATGCAGAGGCACACATTCACACTGACTCATGCAGACACACTCACATTGACCCATGCAGGCACGCTCACATTGACCCATGCAGACACGCTCACATTGACCCATGCAGACACGCTCACATTGACCCATGAGGACACGCTCACATTGACCCATGCAGACACACACACATTGACCCATGCAGACACGCTCTGACCCAGGCAGACACGCTCACATTTACCCATGCAGACACGCACATATTGACCTATGCAGATACGCACTGACCCATGAGGACACGCTCACATTGACCCATGTAGACATACACACTCATTGACCCACGCAGACACACACTGACCCAGGCAGACGCGCTCACATTTACCCATGCAGACACGCACACAGTGACCAGTTCAGACACACGCACTGGCCTTCCTGGGCAGGCTGGTGGCTGCCCAGCTGAAATGGAGTGCAAGAAGGACAGGGTAGAGTAGGGGAGGACTGCATTGAGTGCTCACTTCTGTGCAGGTTGTCCTCTTTTGGCATCCTCTCCGTCCCTTACAAGCATGGAGAAGGAGGTCACTGGGTTATAAGAATGATGTCATAGCCCAGCCCACTCTCTTCTGATTCATGCAGCAGCTCAGCAGCTGGCCTGGAAGGAGAACAAGTAGGTCGATAATCTTCTTCTTGTGCAGGTTGGCCTCTGCACATGCACACACTCATCATGAGAATGGGTTAGCTGGTGAGGAAGATCTACTATTCCAAGGCCACCGTCAAGGGCCTTATGGGAAATCTGGCCCTGGTGTCAGGAGGTCCCCGAGCACTCTCTTACCTTAAGGGGTTAAACTGTTCTCGAACAGTTGACACCATAATCACTTCATTCAGATGAAGTTGTTATGGTGACAGGAGGGTTCTTTTAAGATACATAATATTCAATAATGTCTAAAGTATTGAAACATAAATTATGGAAGATTTATTTTTATAATACAATCCTTCACTGATATTCAACGTGTTATTAAAAAGTTCTATTAAAGCTCAGTTCTATTAACAAACCATTAAAAATACAGATAATCACAAGGCAAACGCAGAAATAATTCTGATTAAAGTAGAACATTTTCAGAATGTATTAAATACAATGTTCTTGACACATAATGGCAAAAGGTATAAACTCTCTTCTGTATTACCTGTCTGCACAGTGTTACACTGTTTATATTGGGAAGTAATTTAACGACCAATACAGGATATCTTTAAAAAAAACAAAAAAAACTATGGAGTTATTACTGTGTGATTTAATAAAATAGTTTCACATGTTTGGTTACAAAATTGTTCCCTATGGAATGAGTATGCGCTTTATTCAACCTTTCAAAGTCAGTTATCGTTTTTAAAACAGCTTGACCTGGAAACATGCAGCTAAAATTGTGGTGACTGTTAATGACAGTTTTATTGGACACTATGCTTATAGTTCACATTTTGAGGTCTGTATGTAATTGATCTTTCTACCCTACATGAGAAACATTGCAATAAGTTGGTTGCAGCACCACATTATAGATATAGAGAAATAATAATGATGTCACCTTGAGACTCAAAGATCGTGCAATAGCAATCCTCGCCTACCTTGATTCTCCCAACTGTGGTGACCTCTAGTCTTCAGCACTAAATCTTAACAGTCTCAGCATTATTTTTGAATTATTCATGATGGTCCTTTCCATCAGTACAAAATCAAGGAAAATGAATGCACTATGGTCTGTCACCTCTATAGATATTTTGGTAAAATATACAATGATATTTGGCATTTCAAAAAAAAAAGTAGAAATTATGCAGCGCGGAAGGTGAACCTCATATACATTGTAAAGTAAAACAAGAATGCAAATTGTTTGAATGGTTGATGAAATATTCAATGGTATGTGCACTGCTTATATCAGCTAATTATATATTTCCATGCATTATAGCTGTCATGTGACCGCTAGCTGTTATGGCTCGGCGAATAGGAAATGTGATTTCTATTTTATTTTTCAACTGTTTGCAATGGTAGGAAAAAAGAAATCTCAATTGAGCAAGTATGTAACTAGCAGTGCACGTAGCTAACTAAGATAATTACATCAGATGAAGGCAGAGCACAATGCACTTCTTAGGGTATAAATAAAAACAGGAATAGGTGCATACTCTACATCAGGGGTACCCAAAAGGTAGATCTCCAGGTGTTGTAGAACTACAACTCCCATGATGCTTTGCATGCCTTTAGAATGACAAGGCATCACGAAAGCTGTAGTTTTAAAACATCTGGAGATCTACATTTTGGGCAGCCCTGCTCTACATTGTAAATTCCCACAGTAGTCCTCAATGACTACAAATGGTCTGTATGTATTTTAATATATGGTTGGAATAGAAATAGGTAATCCCTATATTGTGACTTCAGTTTTCACAGGGGAATGCTTAATAAAGCACTGTCTTGCACACCCCATTGACAGTGTTCTTGAACAGGGGATACATACACAATTATATAATTACACTATTGTTTGTTATGACTGAGGGCTTGGTAATCCTTAAGTTGCTGGACATGGTCTGGCATATATCGAGAAGCATAGTTTTCTTGTCCACTCATTTTGACATATTAAAGGGACACTGTAGGCACTATAACCATTTCATCTAATTAAATTGGATATAGTGTCTGGAGTCCAATGGCAGTGTCCTTTAATACTTTATTAAATCATTTTGGAGCAGTCTAGCACTGAATGAGGGTCCCTGGCCACCCCAAGCCTCCCCTACTGGAGCTATGGCTAAGGCCATGCCGATTCACACCTGCTATAGGCAAAGTGATGGTCTGAAAGCAGTCAGCTGACATTCTAAGCCAATCACAACCATCCATTGCTGTTCAGATTAATACTTAATTAATTCAAGCAGCACAGAAGGGATAGACTGCTGTGGACTATACTTTAGCAATCAAACATTTCATATTGCTTAATGCTCAGGGCCGGACTGGCCCACCGGGATACCGGGAAATTTCCCGGTGGGCCGCGGCATCTGGGGGCTGCGCTGAGCATGTGTGTGCCACCGGGTGGCCGGTCCGGTGGCACACACTCTGAGGGGGCTGGCCGCATTCCATGCTGGAGCCGCCGGGCCGGGTGGCAGCCTCGCCGGTCCGGCGGCCCTCCTCCTGTCACTGATGGCTTAGGAGTGAAGAAGGAAAAGGGAGGAGCATGTCTCTGTACCCACAACACAGGAACCGCGAGGGAGCATGGTACAGAGACATGCTCCTCCCTCCTCCTTCTTCACTCCTCAGCCATCAGTGACAGGAGGAGGGCGGCCAGACCGGCGAGGCTGCCACCCGGCCCGGCGGCTCCAGCGTGGAATGTGGCCGGCCCCCCTGACTCCTCTCAGGTAAATGGGAGGGGGAAGACGGAGAATAAAGAGACACAAGGGAAGGGGGGAAATCAAACAGAGGGGGAATAGAGGGAGAAAGAGACAGAGGGGGAGAGACGGTGGGAGAGAGACAGGGAAAGGGGGGGAGAAAGAGACAGAGGGAGAAAGGAGAGAGACACAAGGGGAGGGGGAGACAGAGGAAGAAAGGAGAGAGACACACAAGGGGAGGGGGAGACAAAGGGAGAAAGGAGAGAGACGCACAAGGGGAAAGGAGAGAGACACACAAGGGGAGGGGGAGAAAGAGGCAGAGGGGGAAAGGAGAGAGATGCACAAAGGGAGGGGGAGAAAGAGGCAGAGGGGGAATAGAGAGACTGGAAAGGAGAGGGGAGACATGGACACAGAGGGGGAGGCAACAGGGCAATTCCCCCCCACGAGGCTCTCCCCTGCCAGCCGATCTCCCTCCTCGTTCCACAGGCACCGTGCGGCACACACTGCCCCCCATACACACACTGCCCCCACACACACCATACATATTCACACACTGCCCCCCATACACACATTGCCCCATACACACACACACACACACACACTGCCCTCACACACATTGCCCCACACACACATACACAGCCCCCCACACACACATTGCTGCACACATACACAGCCCCCCATACACATATTGCCAGACACCCCACACATTCATACACTACACCCCCCCACACACACATACACTGAACCTTTCACACACACAGTGCACCCCTCACACATTGCACCACTGCTCCTATACCCTACTATAGCCCCATATCCCAGCAGACCCCAGATACGTTGTCAAACTGTTCTTAAACGGTTTGACTACTTACTCTGGGAGGGGGTCCCGGCACTCCTGGCACCATAACCACTACAGAGAGCAGTAGTGGTTATTGTGCATGGATTATTTCTTTAAATAATCTACAAGTGCCCCTCCCGGGATCAGGCTCTGGATCCACCACTGGTATATGACATGTATATTAATGTGTATTAGTTTTATATATATTTATATATATATATATATATATATATATATATATATATATATATATATATATATATATATGTATGCCTATTATATTTACACATATATTAATGTACATTTATATATGCATAATACACAGATAAATGTCATTAATATGTACCATTTGTAATGAGCAGATATTGTCCCAGTCTTGTTGCTAGATGCAGACTCCATCACAATAACATATTTAAAGTGAAGAGCGCACCCACAGGACTTCAAAATAAACAAGATAACGTCATTTTTTTACAGTTGTGCCCTACATACATTCACCATTTCAGTCCCATTACCAAGCTTTCCTTATTATGTCAAGGTAGTTGGACTGAAACATTGATTACATGCAAAGGCACGTCTGCTTAAAATAAATCTGCACTTTTGTTTATTTTGAAGCCTATGAGTGCTTTTTTTTTTACGTTGAAGTAATAATTTTTAATTTTAAGTTCTCTTTTCTAACTCTGTATCTGCACACAATACTGGCGCGACGCATTATGGGGCTGGTAAATATTTTTTTCCAGGGCCCTGTTAATGCTCAATGGAAGCACAGCGCAACTGACACTATAAACACTTCGATGAGATGAAGAAGTTATAGTGCCTACAGTGTCCCTTTTAAGGCTTTAAGCCATCTATAAAAATGTTGAACTGCAAGGCCAATTTTAAAAATTGCGCGGAAGACTCCCTTACATGCTGGCTACAATTAAATATCTTTTTACAGGAAGAATGGAATGGGCAGTCCAGATCCCGGAAACTTATAAACATATTTACAGGCTCTAAACCTATTCATTATGGACTTTAACTACCAAGCATCGCAGATGGCCAACCTTATGTAAATTAATCTTAGCAGGAATTCTTGAATACCCAACATTCAATATTCTGGAATACCCAACATCAGCTTACTATCTGTCTTTTAATTACTTATGTAACTTGCATATTAACCATATCATTGACCAACATGGAATAACCCTGACTGGACAGAAAAGATTAAACGATTTTGAAAAGATGAATCTTTCCCTTTTTTAACACTCTCTCGCAATCACACTGTATGTATATGTCAAATTAGATTTCTCTTTTAATTCCAATACCTTTCATGGTCAGTTATTTCTTCCATTTCCATTCATGTTGTTTATAAAATTTATTTTGCCAAACCTAATGTTCCCCCTTTTTAAATCACTCACGTGTATTTTCCATTGCCCACCCTCCATATGTCATCCCTGTTTGTTAAAGGAACACTAAAGATTCAGGAACACAATCATGTATTCCTGACACTATAGTGTTATACCCCCTATGTCAGAGCAGTGAAAGGTTTTTAAACTCACCTTTTTTCCCACACCATGCTTGTCTTGTTGCTGCTGGCCCCGCCTCCATGGCTGAGATCATCAAACTTGATGATCTCAGCCAATCCAATGCTTTCCCATACAAAAGCTTTGTGAGGCTATTGCCAGGGCCGGTGCAAGGATTTTTGACTACACAGGCAAAGATGCATTTTGCCACCCCCCTGCACTTCCTCTATATATAATTTTGGTGTCTAATAAAGAGGTGTGTTTGTATGTAGTGTTGACATTTGAATGCAGTGGTGTGTTTGTATGTAGTGTTGATGTTTGCATGCAGATGTGTATTTGTGTGTAGTGTTGGCATTTGAATGCTGAGATATATGTACATATACACATACACTGCCACACACACACACACACTGAGATACAGATACACAAAGATACACACACTGACACACATGCAGATACACAGATACAAATATACACAAACTGATACATATTCAGATAGATAGACACACAGATACACACAAACACTGACAGACATACAGATAACCACACACTGACATACAGATATATACGCACACTGACATACAGATACACACTGACAGACATACAGATACACACACATACACACTGATAGATATACAGACACACACATACATATTGACTGACATACAGATACACACACACACAGACAGACATACAGACACACACTGACAGACATACACACACAGACACACTGACAGACATACAAATACACACATACACACTGACAGATATACACACACACACAGACACACTGACAGGCATACAGATACACACACAGACACACTGACAGACACACACATACATGCTGGTCAAAATATACACTTTTCTAGCCACCATTCTGTTTTCTACCTTGTGGGTTCAGGAGGGTGGCTTACCTGGGATCTAGAGTGATGCCTGAGGTAGTTGGGAGTTGGAGGAGCTAGCCCTGCCCAGCTCCCCTCCTCTCTGCCTTCTCCTGCTCTCGCGGCTCCAGTCTTCTTGGGAGTAAGTCTTCCCATGCTGATGAGAAGGGGGCCGGCGGTAGCTCTGCCCCTGCTGGGCACCAGCAGCACTATGTGCTACAGGGGGAGCAGAGATATGACTTCATATCTCTGCCCCCTCCGCACAGTCCGCAGCACTGCAGAGTGGAAGGCAGGATAGACGGAGTTGCTGGCTCTTGGCCACACTATGAGAAGTGACCGGGAGGAGAGGAGCACTGTGTTAGGTGACATTTGGTTGCTTAACTGGACTTTAGGTTGCCTGGCTGGACGTCCTCACGATTTGCATTAGGACATCCAGTGTCAGCTAAAACTCTGTAGGAAAGCATTGATTCAATGCATTCCTATGGGATAGTCCTAATGCGATTGCGGTGATTGCTTGCGCATGCGCATTAGGCCCCCTTCCAAAAGCTGACGTCGGCAGAGCAGGGGGAACCTGAGCCAGCGGCGAGGGACCTTGATGCTTGAATCAGGTAAGTGACAAAATGGCTTTTAACCCTTTTATCGCTGGTGAGGGAAGGGGGTACTATAGAGTACTATAGTGCTAGGAATACAACTTTGGTATGCCTTCCTTTGTGCCTCCCCTATATCACTATAGTTTCCCTTTAAGTCTGGGGGAGGGGGGAAATGGCAGACCAGCTCACAGCTCACCTAGGGCTACTCTAAAAAATATATTGTTTTCATAAAACACTGGATTTTGGTTGCAGTAACCCTTAAGCCTAAGGAGACATGAAGTTAATCATAAAGGCACTTCAGCAAGCTAAAGGGGCTGGAGTTTCCCTTTAAAAAAAAATTAATATTTTTTTTTTTTGTCCAATTTTTTAATTTTTAGGAAATGTGGCATCTGTACTGTAATAAAAGTAATCCATACAAACCTCTAAATATTGCCAATTTCCAGTGTTCAACAACAAACATGAAATAAAATCAGTCTTATTTAAAAAAAAAAAAAAGGAATATATCTGACACAAAAAAGGCTTTAGGGTGGACCTACCAATGTTTGATACACATGCATACAAATTATACTCCGTGCTGGCAAAAGTCTGTGATATTCAATTTGACGTGTCGATTGACACAAAACAAATATCCCAAGGGTTTGTAATAGCAAATCCAGCTTCAATACCAAAAACCTCCCAAGCATTTCTATTCACATACAACTACTTCAAAGGATCAAACATCTAAGGTAGATATCAATTTACTATTTAACGCTTGTAACTCACCTAAGATCTCCTTCTCATGCAGTGAAATATTAAATGTTCCTTGCGAACAGCAGTGAAGAAGATTACAAATGCAATCTAGATTTTTAAGCACAGAAACACCCCAGGGTCAGATTATCTCACCAGCACTACCTACAAATACTGTTCTGTCATATTAATTTTACATGTAGTTAATGTATTCAATAATATACGGATGGCTATACAATTGTATCACAAATGGTTTAACCTAAAGGGTTGAACATAGCCAAAGGTTAAGATTCCATATAAGAACTACAAAAAAAGTTAACACATTTAATCTTTAACCACATTATGCAACATGTAAAAGTTCCTACTGATTTCCTAAATATTGCACCTGGTAGAATTGCTTTATTTAAAGGAAAAAAATGTAATACTCTCTTGCCTTTAAGAAATAATTCTTTGATAATTTAAGCTGATATAGAATCAAACCTCCCAGGTGTCTTAGATCCGACAGAGAGGACCCATTTTGGGACCTCCCTGTCCGACTATACTTCCATCTTTAATTTTTTTTAAATGCAGCTTGCCATTAAAGTTACACTATGCAAAGACAAAGCAGGGCATTCTTGCCCAAAGTAAAAGTTTTGTTGCAGAGCTGTGGCTATTAGCAATCTTGGTCAGCTGATTGATAGGGTTGCCTTTAACACAATGTTTAAGTGTATTGGGTTGATAGGTCACATTTCTTGACATATTAAATGGAATATAGGTTTGCTAATTTACATATGAACTAAGCACATCCTAAAATAGATGTTATAGTCTCAAACTCAGTATGGAGAGTATATTCCTGAAAAATTATCTCTAGGTGCAATTACTTACAGGCACTCCCTATATAACAAAATAGAGAATGCACACTAGAATCACTATAAAGAGTAATGCAAATACTTTAATAGACCAATAATAAGTACAATAAGCATAAAGCAAAATATAAAGTGACAATATATAGGCAAAGCAAACCAAACAATAAGAAGTACCACAATTCTCACAAGCCTATTCTGGCAGAACACGAGCCCCAAAACTCTCAACGTTTCGGCACCTACTGGCTGCCTTTTTCAAGGGTGTTTGAAAAAGGCAGCCAGTAGGCGCCTTAACGTTGAGGGTATTGGGGGCTCGTGTTTCTGCCAGAATAGGCTTGTGAGAATCGTGGTAATTCTCATTGTTTGGTTTGCTTTGCCTATATATTGTCACTTTATATTTTGCTTTATGCTTATTGTACTTATTATTGGTCTATTAAAGTATTTGCATTACTCTTTATAGTGATTCTAGTGTGCATTCTCTATTTTGCAATAGTCTCAAACTCATTCTCATATATTTTAAAATGAGTTTGGCTATCCATTTCAGGTTTCATATGCTATATTGTGGTTGGCTATTTGAATATGGAATGAAAGAATAGAATCCACAGATTTACCAGGCCGTACATAGTTGGTGTCTGCCCACAACCTCTACGAGAAAGAAATTGTGCAAACATGCACCACTGGCCAGAATTCCAAACACTAAAGTGTCTCTCTGCTCCCACTTCACCACCCGTCCATGAAAGTGTTAAAAAAAACTTTTTACACACACCTGATTCCAGCGCCAAGGTCTAATGCAGGCCGCGCATGCATTAGACCTTCCCCATAGGAAAACATTGAATCAATACTTTCCTATGGGGTTTTTCCTTGATGCTGGATTTCCACATGCAAAGTGTAAGGATGTCCCGCATCATTTCCCAAGGTCAAACTGTGTTAAACCGCAGGAAGCGCCTCTTGTGGCTGACTGACTTAGCACAGTAATGTAAACATCAATGTTTTTCTAAAACTGCAATGCTTCATATTGCAGGGTTCAGGGAACAGGGACAGTGCACCCAAACCACTCCAATAAAATGAAGTGGTCTGGGTGCCTATAGTGTCCCTTTAACAAATCTGTTACATTAAAAATGAAAACAGGATGTAGTGAAGTAATTTTCAGCCAACACAGGAAACACACCATGACCTCTGATCTCATGGATTATGATCTATTATCTTTGTTCAACATACACAGTTTCAAAGAAAGAAAATCAAATCAAAATGAACTACATTGGGCAGACTTGATGGACCGAATGGTTCTTATCTGCCGTCACATTCTATGTTTCTATGTTTCTATGACTTCATTTTTTTTCAAAAATAAATAGTAGGAAGTGTAAAGGTAGCAAAGATTTCTCATGTCAATGACCTTTGAAATTAAAGGGACACTAAAGGCACCAAAACAGCTTAATGAGATTGTTCTGGTGAATATAGTCTGTCCCTGCAGGCATTTTAATTGATATTTTCCAGAGAAAGGCAGTGTTTACATTGCTCATTACACATTACTCATCCAATGGCAGTCACTCAGACAGTCACTAGAGATGATTCCTGGGTGCAGCACTGACATTCAGCGTCTCCACTCTACATGGAGACACTGAACTTTCCCCATAAAGATGCATTGATTAGGTGCATCACTATGATGAGATGCTGATTGGCCAGAGTGCCGTTTGGCTCCGTCCCCTGCCCCCTTGGCTGAGATCATCAGAATGGAAAATCATTGGATTGGCTGATATCATCAATTCTCACTATGTCAGCCAAAGAGACGGATCAGGGAGAGCAAGAACCGACAGGCCCGCGCATCTCTGGAATAAAGGCAAGTTTTTATTTTATTTAAAGGGGGCTAGGGGGGGGCAAGGACTCTGCCTCTCTTGCGAGGTTGCCACGCCACTTACAGGAGTCCTTAAGTTACAGGACCCTGTAGGTTTAGGTCTTTTTATAATAAAATGTTATACAGGTCATAATTACAATGGGACAGCACAATTTTATAGCATAAAGAATGAGAGAGCATGCTAATAGAAACTACTTAACATCATAGTAGTTAGTCAAGAGTAGGCTTAGTAGTCCTGCTAGGATATTATATGAGCAAAACCAGAAAGTGGCAGAGAATAGTTAGAATATCGGAAGAAGGTAGCCCCTGGACTACACTCTTTGAATTGCAGCTGCAATGCACATGTCATAACAAGACACCTAGCTAATCAATAAGACTTTTGGTGGTCTTCAATTTTCCCACAACCCAAGAAACTCTGGAAATAAAGGTGGTGGCGTAGGGTTTTCTGCTCTCACCTCACTGCTCCTTCAAACCTCTACCCACACCCCCTTCCCTCTCTTTCTCATCATTTGAGATTCATTCAATCTGCCTTTTTAAACCCATCTCTGCTAACATTGCGGTTATCTATCACCCCACTGGTTCCCCACTTCTCTTCCTTGACCACTTTGCTGCCTGGCTTCCTTACTTCCTCTCCTCTAAAATTCCATCAGTAATTATTGGAGACTTCAACATTCCCATTAACTCACCCTTCACCTCAGCAACCTCAAAACTACTTTCTATTACCTCCTCCCTTGGGCTATCACAGTGGGCTAATTCCCCCACCCGTATAGCAGGCAATACTCTAGACCTTATTTTCACTCATGATTGCACAGTCTCTACCATCTGCAACATTCAATTTCCTCTCTCAGATCATCATTTCCTATCATTTGCTCTCAATAGCCCCCTCCCCCAACAACCTCAATCTTACCCCCCTCAACTCAGAAGGAATCTGAGTTCTATAAATCTCCAGCAGCTGTCAGCTGATATCAATTTCCCAACTATTATCCATTCCTGCTCACTAATGTCCCTCACTGGCTATCTCCTCATATAACTCTACCCTCACCTCAGCCCTAGATACTGCAGCCCCTCTCCAAATACACACCGCAAGGAGGACACACCCCCAACCATGGCACACTAAATCAACACGCTACCTGCAAAGATGTTCTCGTTCTGCTGAACGTTGCTGGAGGAAGTCTCACACCGAGTCAGACTTTCTACACTACAAATTCATATTGCGTTCATACAGCACAGCCCTTGCCAAACAGTCTTACTTTTCTTCTCTTATTCGTTCATGCTCCCACAATCCCAGGCGTCTCTTTGATACCTTTAACTCTCTTCTTTGCCCTGCTGTGGCCACCCCCCAAACTAACCTTACAGCTAAAGTAGCAGTCTTGCTTGCTACTTTACTGACAAGATTGAACAGATAAGGAAAGAATTCTCACCACCTTGCCCCTCACCTTTTCAACCTCCCCTGGATCATGCCTCTCCAACCCTTCCGACCTTCTCCCAGGCTACTGAACAAGAGGTGGCTGCACTTATCCTTTCCTCTCAGCCCACCACTTGCCCGCTTGATCCTGTCCCATCTCACCTTATTAGATCTCTCTCTTCTTGTCTTGTGCCCTCCTTAACACACATCTTCAACTGCTCTCTTTCTTCTGGCACTGTTCCTGCTGTCCTGAAACATGCTACTGTAGTACCCATCTTAAAAAAAACCATGTCTCGACCCATCCTCCCTCTCTAACTATCATCCTATATCCCTGCTCCCTTTCTACTCAAAGCTTCTTGAAAGACTACTCTTCACCCGTCTGGCCTGCTTCCTCAACTCCTACTCTCTCCTCGACCCTCTTAAGTCTGGCTTCCGCCCCCTCTACTCTACTGAGACTGCCCTTATCAAAGTCACTAATGACCTCATCACAGCTAAATCCAAAGGTCTCTACTCCATATTAATTCTTCTTGATCTCTCCGCTGCTTTTGACACTGTTGATCATGTTCTCCTTCTCCAAACTCTTCAATCACTCGGTCTCTGTGACTCTGTCCTCTCATGGTTTTCCTCCTATCTCTCCCAACGCTCATTCAGCGTTTCCTTTTCTAATGATACCTCCACCGTTCGTCCTGTCTCAGTTGGAGTCCCCCATGGCTCTGTCCTTGGTCCCCTTCTTTTTTCTCTTAACACTGCCTCTCTTGGCCAGCTTATTATCTCTTTTGGATTCAAATACCACCTGTACGCTGATGACACCCAGATATATCTCTCCTCCCCAGACCTCTCCCCTGATGTCCTGCAACGTGTCACCTCTTGCCTTTCTTCTATCTCTGATTGGATGTCCTCCCGCTTTCTGAAACTTAATCTTTCCAAAACAGAACTTCTTGTCTTTCCTCCTCCTAATATTAATCCTCCTCTCTCACTCTCACTTCAGATTGGTG